ATGGACTTGAAAAGCATGTGCTTGGATAATGCACTATCCAGATGTTTCAAAGACTTTATGCATACAGAAAATAGACATATTTTATACATATGTACATACTGTATATGTACATACACCATCTATACAAATATATGTATATAATATATGTTTTACATCGGTAAATAGATGGAAATGATGGAAATATATACATAGGTTGCACTGTAAAGTCTTCCACCTTGGAGATACTCAAAAGCCATCTAGTCATGGTCTTGGGCAACTGGCTCTTGGTGGTCCTGCTTGAACAGGAGGGTTGGACCAGATGACCTCCAGAGGTCCCTTCCAACCTTGAGCATTCCATGATTCTGTGACATATCTTATTTAAAGCCATAATCATAGTAATACGATCCTATCTGTGGGAGAACTCCCACCCAAAATTTCTGTTCATACTGTACATGCATTGCTTTTAGTCCATGAAGTTACCCACAGATTTGTGCATTTTTCCCACTATTGGGGAAACTGAGGCCTTGAGAAACCAAGTGATGTGCACTTAGCACAACAAGCCAGAGCAGAGGCTTGCCACTGGCCTCCGTTACACCCCGGCTGCCAAGACTAGAAGTGGTAACTCTCCAAGACTTCTTGTTGCTTAATTTTTTTTCCTCCTCCTTATTTTCAAACTACTTGGGAAAACACATGCTTCTATGGTTTTTTGGAGCAAACTGTGCCCTCAGTGGCCATGATGACACCGAGACTATGTCATTGCTTGAAAGTGCATGGAAGTGGTCCTCTGGCACTGAAAGATGCTGGTTAGCCCGCTGTGGGAACGAGCTTTGATAAAATGCACTTGTGCTTGCACATACAAGTGGTTTTGAGAGCCAGGACCCTGAGTCTCAAATTCAGTGAATGTTTTGAACAAGAGTCAGCTTTGTAATGAATAAAGAAAAAATGCCTGCTCACAAGTATGTTTAACATATCTGCATAGCTCCAAGACTGTGTTACCTGTGATTTGAGATCAAGATTGAAAGGGGCTGCTGTAATATCACACTGATAATAGTCAGCCTTAGCATGAGAACGGGACTGAATGAGTGGCCAAAGGGCCACTACAAAACCTCAGGGGGACTGCGAGACAGGGTTGTACTTTTAACTTGTGTTTGGCCATTTGTGTATATGTCACATTACAAGAGACCCATCACAGAAAACAAACCATGAAAGAAAAGTTCCCACCTGCTCCCTCAGTGAAACACTCAGGGTCCGCCCCCCCCCCCCCCCCCCCCCCCCCCACACC